AGAGTTAATCTTGATTGGCTTGAGAGACCCCTAGAAAGTTAGGAAAGCAGATTTCTGGGTGCCTGGATGGGTCGTGGTAGGCATGATCTTGGGAGATATATCTGGTCCCCAGTCCTCTCCTCTCTGACCCTTTCCAACCTGCTTTGCCATGAGGTGAGCAGCTTTCCTCTGCCATGATGTTTCTGTCCCTGAGCCAGCCAACCATGGACTGAAACCTCTGAAACTACAAGCCAAAGTAGACTCTCTCCTTTAAGTTGTGTACATCAGATATTTTGTCCTAGTAATGGAAAGCTGACTAATATAGTAAATATGTGTGAAGAAATAAATAGACTTCAGATTATGCAGGTCCATATATAAGAATTGTTTCATTATAGCTGGGTGTGGAGCTGTATACCTATAATTCTAGCACTCTAGGAAAGTGAGGCAGGAGGATCACAAGTTTGAGTGTACCTGGGCAACTTAACAACTTAGTGAGCCTGTGTCTCAAAAATAAAAAAGGATTATCATGAAGGTCTTGAGTTCAATCCTCAGTACTACATTTTTTAAAAAGAAGAATTAATAAAGAAAAAATTGCTTCATTACACCCTCTTGTAAGTCACAGACTCTTAGAAGTGGGTAGCATGATGGTTGCTGTCCTGTTAACACCATTCTCTTTGGTAAAAGATGACATCAAATGTTTGGTCATCTCTTATTACCCCTTCGTGAATGCCATCCATTGTGCCATCAATATTAAGTTTCAGGCTGACAGTGGTGGTGCACACTTGCAATCCCAGCACTCAGGAGACTGAGGCAGGAGGATTGCTGTGAGTTTGGGGCCAGCCTGGGGTACATAGTGAGTTCAAGTCCAGGCTGAACTACATAGCAAGACCCTGCCTTGAAAAATATAGTTTCTCTTGATGTCATTTTATCTCATTCTGTTACTGCTATTTAAAAACTTGCTTTATGTTTACTACTTTCTCTGTGTTTGCTTTCATTTGTCCTACAAAGTAAACTTTAAGCTTTGGCTTTATCACGTACAAGGACAGCCCAGGAGCACAGAAATGAAGCACTGAGGTGGGATATAGCTCAGGGAGAAAGTTACATGTGTGAGGCCCTCTTATGCAATTCCTATCACCTCAAAAAAAGAAAATGAGAGGGGGAAAAAAGATACCAAAAGCATTACTTTATGCTGATGCTCTAGAAAATACCATGCTGTAAATACAGAGGTTAACTGTCTTTCCTATCCCCACCATTCCAAACCAAACAGAAATTAAAGATATAGAAAGTACTTTTTATTCTGTGTCAGAGTTTTTAACTTGGCTGATGTCCTGAACTGTATGCCTATTTTATTCTTTAGTTGGCTTTTGCGTACATGCTCGTTTTCTGGAAAGAATCTGTGTTTTTATTCTTCTGAGATGTCAAAGATCCAAAAAAATGGCCCTGGGTCATGTATTCTGCTTTATTTCTCTATATGAGACCAAATCTGCAAGGCTGATTGTGTCCTTTCTGTAAACCACTTGATGTTATGACTTCAGGATGCATCTTGAAACTTTTTTCCAAGAGAACTTTGTAAACAAGCTCTAAACTCAACAGACATTTTGAACTACATGAACAATAAACATAACATAAAATTTCCTGCTTGAAAAAAGAGGCAGCTGAGCTCATTATACGATATACTTAGCTACTCACATTTTAGTTATTCTTATTAATATCATTAATATTACTTATAACTTCTCATTACTTTTCTGAAAACCCTGAGTGTGTCTCATGCTAGCTTCAGGGACAGTGTTATAAGCTGAGAAACCATCACTACACATTTTTTAAAACTCTGAACATGACTAAGAATAAACTTTGGATTTAGGGCCTAAAAAATAATTCAGTAGAAATGTGAAGAAGAAACTGAAATACCATTATTCAACAAGACTTTAGCATTTGTATACTTATGTCAGGATATATATGTTTATTAAAGTGTTTTGGAGGTTCATTTATAATCTTACCTTTAAAAATTCTTGGCTACAAAAAAGAAAAAAATCATTATCTCCATTAACCAGAATCTCTTCTTTTTTCTTTTTTTTCATTGCTGGGAAGATTTTAAGATGTTTCTTCCTCCCTTCCTCCCTTCCTACTTTCCTCCTTTACTTCCTTCCTCCTTTCCTCCCTCCCTTCCTTCCTTCCTTGTGCTGGCCCTGCTCAATGTGAATTTACAATCCTTGGAACCTGAGTGAACCAAACTGTTAACAAATCACCCATGCAGAACTCTCACTGTGGCGTTTCCTTCTTGATAGGCCTACTGAACCCAAAACACATTCATTTAGTGATTTTTTTTCCCCGTTTATGCTGATTACGTGAGGCAATTTGATTCCACAAGAGAAGAAAAAAAGGATGTCCAGATTTGGAGAATTGCTTCTCTTTTTTTCTACTTAAACCCCTTGACACTTTGAGGAGCACACTTACTCTCCTCACACTCACCCAGGCAAACACAAACACACTTTCCAAGATATGGGCTTTCTAGCAAAGTCCTCTAAACTGCCAATCCAAAACTTCTCATAAAGAAAGAGTTGACTTGGTTTTTAAGTGACAGATCTCTCAAGTCAGAGAGTGACCACGAGCATGCCAGAGGATAGTGGACGATTCCTCACAGTTCCTGCCTGCTGGCTTAGGCAATGCAGTTCGGTGCAGCCAAGCAATCCTGGGATTGCTTTCCTTTTTGAAGCTGCTTGCAGCTCAAAGAGGAGTTTGACTTCCCCATCCTCATCACTGAATCAAGAGATCAGTTTCTTCCAAGAATCATGGGTATTCCTGAAGAACATAGCTAGGAGGCAAGGATACCTTGCCACAGCATTGCACCCAGATGGAACCCCTCAGGGGTGGTAGGGACTGAAAGGAAGGAGTCCAGATCTCGGGACTTTTGCTGGCTGTGGGCCAGTGTCCAGCGGTCCTTGGCTTCCTAGGCAGTCCAAGACATGTACCAGGGAAAATGAAAGTAAAATATGACCTGGCAGGGATCCAGCTGGAAGCTAGAGACAGGTAAGCTGCATTCTCAGAAACTGACAGCCTGTCCTGGACGTGATCTCTGTGAAGACGATGATTTGGGGGACAAAGTGAAAGGAAGAGATGGAAATGAGAGAGAAGTGAGCAAGAAAAACAACAGTTAGGCTGGGGAAGCTCCTGGAACTAGCTGACTCAAGGTAATATGGGTTATCTGTGGTGCAAATAGACCAGCCACGGGACCCAGGCCACTGCAAGGACTGTCCTGCAGCTAACCAGTTGTCCAGAGGTTGGCTAGTTCTCCCCGTTGCACCTCATTGACCCTCGGCACATCCCAAGCCCTCACCAGAGCCAGTCTCGAATCTGTCTCCTGACCTCGACTGGATCTCAAGTCTGCTCAGGTGACTGGCTCTGGGAAGAGTCCTCCGAATGAGTACATAACCTCAATGTACCCATTTCTTCTCAGGTGCCATGTCCATGGTTCAGTCCAGACAGCCAAAAGGTGGCTGAGCCAGCAGTGCTCAGCTTAGACCAAGCTGTGGGCAAGGTCCTCGGGACCCAGCACACAGCTGCCTTTGCTCTGAGTCGGCCTCAGTACTATTATGGCAGGGCAGTTAGGAAACTTAGAGCCCTGCGGGACTAGATAGGGATGCTGGCTTCCTGACCATGAAGGAGTAAATTAGGGAGTGCAGACTAGAAGCCGATCTAATCAGAAGCCTCTCAGTCTAGTCACTGTGCTCCAGGACATTTGAATGGAGTAGCAGGTAACAGCGCACGAGAGATCGGCATGCAAGCAGGGAGCACCGCAAGGGCTGCTCTCCTTTTTGTCCTTCAGAAGGGAAATAAGAAATAAAAAATGTCAAGACGCTGTGAGGGACAAGCACAAACGGTGACAAACATGTTCAAACTGATTCATAATGAACAGGCACATTTTTCGGGTCGGGGCTGGAACTCTCCTCTCCCTCTTGAGGAGATAGTGACCCCAGCCTAAAAGAATCCACGCCACCGCACCCCAATCGGCGCTTGCTTAACCGGGCGGAATTAGGAGTCTATGGCTTCCTACCTTTAGTGTGACTTTGGGACGATAAAGTCAGCTTTCGGAACTTCAGTTTCATGCTTGGTGACACGGAAAAGTGATATTACCTTCCTCACCTTGCTCCAGGGTGAGTGTCAAGATCAAAGGACCCTGGGATGTAGTCGTGCTTTGTAAACTGTAAAGTGATTAACATACGTGAAGCATTAGTGTGCTCTTGGCAGCCAGTCCTCACGTTTACAATGGGTGAAGGAAAGCAGCCAGGCAAACTCTCAGGTTGTAACCTTATAAGGCATAATTGGATTACAGGGTGAGGGGAATCAAATGGTATCTCTTTCTAATTTTGGCTATTCCTGTATTTCCAAATAGGCAGACAAATTCTGAAATTTCAGTTAACTACCCCCTCCAAATCCCAATTCTTATTACGGCGGCTTCAAGCTTTGCCCTTATTGCGAAATCTTATTAGCCCATCCAGAAACCCGAGGTCCCGGCCGCTCTCCGGGGGCTGGCGAGCCCCACTCTTCTCGGCTCTGGACCCTCCCCCTAGGCTTCCGCAGGAGTCTGGGGTCGAGGCTGGGTCAGTCATTGAGCAGGCAGGAGCCAGGGTCCATTGAAAACCACAGCTCCCCAGCCTCGTCATCCACTCGGTCATCCGGATCCCTCTGACTCTTGCCGCGCTATCCCAGGAAGACCCCCAACTCTGGAATGTACAACTACGCCGATAAGCACCCTAAAAAGCTGTACAGGCCCTTCTTCGCCCCGCTTACTGTCTGAGCCACATGCCAGAGAATAAGGGCAGTGCCAGTTCCTGCACCAGTCTCCCTGAGCTTATCTCTGAGCCCTGTGGGCATCAGCGACCCTCCAATCTCACATCCACGCGAAAGCAATGCGTGCACCCGCATGGAGGAGCGCGCGCGCCGGAGGAGAGGAAGGGCTGGAGGGCAGTCGAAGCCCCGCCCCTGCCCCTGCGCTCTTATAAAGCGCAGGAACCAGAGCTGGCCGCTGAGTGGTTTCTTGGTGACACTAGGCAGAGCAACGCCAGCCTTAACACTTCTGTCTTCTCGCCGCAGGCAGTCTTGGGCTTTCGGGTTTCGCCACTGCCAGAAGGACGTCTCGGACTTTCTCCGCCAAGTTCTCGGCCGATCCCCCTTTCAGCAGGTAGGTGCCGCAGGCTGAGCGGGGGGCGGGGGCCCCTTTCCGAGGCCGGAAACTGGGAGCGCTGGGTGAAGAGAGCAGCCCACTTTGTGGGATCCTTTCTGGGGTACACCCCACAACCCGGGCCCAGCTCGCGCCCACAGATGGAGCGGAACAGACCTAGTCCCCTCTGCTCCATGAACCGAGTCCCAAGGGGTCGAGCAGGAAACCTCGGCGAGCCTGACTCTGTGCAGCGGCCGCCCCTGCGGGGCCTGTCACCCTCTGGGCGGCTGCAACGCCTCTGGCGCCTCTGCGCGCCCAGGGGAAGATAAGCGTGGGAGCCTGGCGGAGCGCGGACGGACGCGGCCGCGGCGGGCCCTCGCCTGCCCTCAGTGCTCCGCCCGGGCGGTGCAGCGGCTCCGGTGCAAGTGCTCGGCTCTGCTCTTTTCCAGGGTCTGTGCATCGCCAGAATGAAGCTGGTTTCGGTCGCCCTGGTGTTCCTGGGCTCTCTGGCCTTCCTGGGCGCGGACGCCGCGCGGCTCGACGGGGCGTCTGAGACCCTGAAGAAGTGAGTCGGGGCAGCGCCTTCCCCAGTCCTGCTACCGGGCAGACAAGGGAAAAACTGCTTGCCGGTCCCCGGGGGTTAGAAGTGATTGGGAGTGGAACCGGCCACCAGTCGCCCGGACGCACGCTGATCGGGTCTGCTTGTGTGTGTGTGTGTTTTTAAGATGGAATAAATGGGCTGTCAGTCGTGGGAAGAGAGAACTGCCAGTGTCCAGCAGAAACCCTACTGAGCTCGCAGACGCGAAGGCCCGGGTGGCGCAGAAGGACCTTGGGCCACAGGGCTTGAAGAGAGCCTCTCCCAGTCCCCCGGCCAGGTAACTGTGCCCCGTGCAGAAGGGGTGCGGGGTCGTTGGGCTGGATCGCAACTTAGATGGTGGGAACACTTGACAGCTCCCTCGGATTCCAGAACGGCTCTCGTCTCTGGCGACTGGAGCTAAAGCCCTGCCTGATGGGGGTCTCAAGTTGCATTCTTTTCCCTCCCCAGCGGTCCGAAGGCCGGCCTCGTCCGAGTCAAGCGCTACAGACAGGGCCACCGAAGCTTTGGCTGCCGCTTCGGGACATGCACGGTGCAGAAGCTGGCGCACCAGATCTACCAACTCACAGACAAGGACAAGGACGGCGTCGCTCCCCGAAGCAAGATCAGCCCCCAGGGCTACGGCCGCCGGCGTCGTTCCCTGGCGGAAGCCGGACAGGACCGGACTCTGGTGTCCTCAGAGCCACAGGCACGCGCGGCCCCTGGCTCCAAGGTGCACCGAGTGCTGGCCACCCTCCGGAGGATGTAGGCCCCTGGGCATTGGCCGGGGACCAGCCTGAGACTGTCAGTCCTGCAGAGACGACGAGTCGAGGACACGCCGTCTGGCCAGAGCCCTGGCTTTGCAGGACAACCCTCCCTTTCAGGGTAATGGTTTCCTTGCTCTGATCAGGGCCTGGGCCCCTCCTCCCTGGGGACGGGGATGGGGCGCAGGACCCTCGGGGCGGGGGTCTGAGCCACTGCCTTGCCCACCCACGAACCAGTTTCTCACGGGGTGTCACCCCACCGGGGCGCAAGCCTCAATATTATTACTTGAACTTTCCAAAACCTAGAGAGGAAAAGTGCAATGCGTGTTGTACGTACATACAGAGGTAACTATCAATATTTAAGTTTCATGCTGTCAAGATTATTTTGTAACTTCAAATATATAGAGATATTTTTGTACGTTATATATTGCATTAAGGGCATTTTAGAGCAATTATATCCCTCTCCTATTTTAAGACGTGAATGTTTCAGCGAGGTGTAATATTGTTGTTTGGGTTCGTGGAGTGCGTGAGTGTGTGTGTACGTGTGTGTGCACAAAATAAAAAGTGCATCTGATTACCGCCTGTGGAAGGGAACATTGTGTCTGTATAATCTATTTACATAAAGTGAGTGATATAGAACAGCAAATAAACTGTCTCGTTACTGATTCATTCTCGGCTCAGGCATCCCGGGAGAGTTCTGGACCCGGTCTGCCCGGGAGCCTAGGGATCCTGCCGCCCGGCTCTGGGAAGAGATAGGGTGGCGGTCCGGGTGCGAGCTGGCTCCGCTCCGCGCAGGCTTAGTCGCCGCGAGTTCTGCTCTTCTTGCGAGGCGCGCACACCCCAAGTGCCGGGTGCGAGTAAGGGCTTCGCGGGGACGCCCGAGGTCACTGCTTCGCGTGGCAGCCAGGCGGGGCGGGGAAGGGTGAGCCCCAGTGGGGAGGCGAGCCTGGACACCCCGAGTTGCGCAACGGAGTCCCAGTTTTATGGAGTCAGTCAGGGAACCCTGCGCGACAGCGCGCTTCGGATAGTTAGGGTGGTCTTTCAGGCTGTGTGGAGGAGTTTACCCTGCCAGCTTCAGGTTTTAAATTTTGAAGCTTCCCCAGCAAAAATGTTTGGACTTGTCAGGGAGCTCGGCAGCCCAGTAACCCCAGCCGTCTCCCTGCCGGAGAGCCCCACGAGCCGGCAGGCTTATAGGCTAGGTTGTGGCGCCCCCTGCCGGCAGCCGCGGATGCCCCCCCCCAACCCCCCCAACCCCCAAGAGCGGTGAGGCTGTACGTGCGGTTTAATAAGTTCTCCTACGTGGGAGTCAGCACACAACCTTAATGAAAGAGGAAAGAAAAAAAAAAAAACACTTTGCAGATGCCAACCAGCCTCCCCCCAACCCCGACCTGCGCGGCGGCTCGCTGTTCTGGGACAGTGACTCAGCGCCCACATGCTGCGCGGCGTGCAGCTGCTGGCCGGAGGCGGGCTGGACGGACGTGCCGCCGGAACCGTGCGCCTCCGACGGCCCGAGACCTTCATTGTTCCGCCTCCCCTTGCAGCTCTCCCCTTCCTTCCTCCTCCCCAAGGCCCTTGCATTTTCGCCCCACTTCTCTCAGGCCTTCCTTTCTCTCCCTCCTTCCTTCCTCCTCCTTGCTTTCTTTATGTCTTATCGTCTTAGAAGGTTGCTCCGAGTTCCGCTGATAGATGCTAGACCCTAAGCCCCCGTTAGTGACTGGACGGGCAGGGGCGTGTGAACAGTTAGGGAGTGTAAGGCGGGGTGTGTGTGTGGGGGGGGGGTGATTTTGATTTCCCTGCCCCCTTTTGTCTCAGCCAATATCTTGAAGGCCCAGAGGGAACACAAGTGCCTGTTCCTTCCAGAAAGTTTCCTTGTCCTTTCTTAGTTGATCTTCGCAGCGTTGTGAGGTCTGCCAGAAGTGAGGGGTTACAAGAGCGATAGCAGAGGCTCTTTTAATACACATTCACATGGAGGGAACTATGCGCCAGGCTCTGAAAAGTACAGGGCTTTTATGAATGAAGGAGTGACTAAAAGTTACAGTCAAAGAATTTCCGTGCCAGAAGTAGGCTCCGGGTGGGTGGAGGTCTCTGCAGGGGCTGCGGTAGCTGCTGACAGCAAGGAACACTCGGCCTTGGGAAGCGTGGCTCAAGATTAAACACTCACCCTTTTCCCTGAGCCGAGGTTTGCCCCCTAGCCACAGAGTCCTCCAGCCAAACCTCACCCTGGCAGAGCTTCAGCCACCAGACGAAGCTGCCAAAGGCACTAGCTTAGGGCACTAGCTTAGGGCAGCTGTGAGCAGGGAACAGGCATCCAGCCTTTTCTGCCCAGGAGTCTTATGACTTCAGGGAATCCAAAGCAAGTGAATCTGAAATGGTTCAGTTCTGAGAGGAAAGAGGCAGCTGCTCAGCTGGAGTCCTTCCCACGACCAGTCCTGTGACTGCAGACCTTTCTGAGGAGACAGAGAGCCCCCTATGACCAGTCTGGTAGTGTTCAGGATTAACTGAAGGTCACCGTTGAACCCTGGGCACTTCTCTGTAAGCTGTTCAATCAACCTGGATCTTTTTTTTTTCCTACAGTGTTGAAGTTTATCAGGATAGGGCCTCTCAATGCCAATAACACATCATTTATCAACAAGGATGAGTCATTTGTGAGCTGATTGGACCTGTCTACAGCTGAGAAGCAGTCACAGCTTTTATCTGCAGCTACTGTTGCTGGAAGGGTATCATGCATTTGTAATCAACCAAGGGTACCAGGCAATTTCTTGAAAAGCCAACACATTGCCTGAACAGCTAAGGGTGAAGGGGAGAGATGAGACAGAATGGAAACGGATTCTTTTTTTAGCACTTGCTTGGTGTCAGATATTCTCCTAGCCACTTTCTGGACCTTATCTCATCTAGTTCTTACAGCAGCCTTGTGAAGTAGGTGCTATTATCTCTCTTTGTAGATAAGGAAACTAAACTTCAGAGACATAAAGAAACTTAACCAAGGTCACACAGTGAATAGTAAGTGATGGAGGCTGGATTTGCACCCACATGCTACCGGCTATTTTGATGCCGTGAAGTCATAAGGAGTAAAGTGGGATAATTTTAACATTTAGGTTCTCAAGCCAGTTGTCCCCAGATGTCCTCTACTGCAGGGATGGTTTGGGTAGGTGATTTACACCTGCGGTTCTGGAAGATTTACATGAGAGCTGGTAGGGCTGGAAAAGAGAGCTGCCTCAGCAGCAAGCTCAACCTGAGCAAAATAAATGAAGTGAGTTTTAAATTCTTGGTCTTGGTTTGCAGCAGGGATTATAAATCAGGAATAGCCGTTTCCCCCCCTGAGCTAAGCTGCTGACCTCTTTGGTTTGCACTGCCAAATATAGTTAGAACATACACCGAGGGCCTCAGGAGCTGGTTTCTGAGGGGAAGGCCTCCTGAGCTATTCCTGGCCCAACACTGTCCCTTGCTGTAGGTCTTAGGTCGCCTAGAAGAACACCTGTGTCTACAAAGCTGCAAATAGAGTTTCCACCCTTGAGGTGGGACCTTTTGTTTCGGCCACTGCTGCTCAAAGCAGCTTTTCAGAGAATGTTTGGAGCTGACTCTGAGAGTCTGTAGTGCTGCCCCTCCTTTCCTTAGCCCAGAAGGAGAGGTCTTGTTATCCAGCGTCCCACTGAGGTTTCTGCCAAAGCTGGGCTGGAGGCTTGGTCTTCATTTGCATGGGAAGGAGGGCGAGGCGAGAGAGCTATCTGGTGGTCCCACTGGTCTTGTTCCAGAGCTATTTTGGATCATTCTGGAAAAACAATAAAATGACTCTGACCACACAAGGAGCCGATTTTAGTAGGTTATTGTACATTTATCCAACAGCAGGAAAGGAGTTCTGAAGAGCCAGATAAATTTTTTAGAATGTAAAAATTGCATGTTACTTATCAGGCAGTATATATTTAGAATAGAAAAAAAATTCACCTTTAATATCATCCCCAGAGATAACTCCTATCAATAGTTTAATATGTACACTTTTAGACATTTTAATATATTATATACACACTTTTAAAAAAGAAACAGGTGGGGAGAGCTGAAATAAACATACTCTTCAGTTTAAGGAACTTTGTCATTATCCATCTGTTCAAGGCTTCTCTCTTGTTTAATGGTCTTATTTTTCCTCCCTTAATTTTCATTGTTCTTCTTGTCTCAGTCATAGGAACCATCCTTAATATGTATGATAGTTGTACTTATTATATACATACTATCTTTTAAAATCTGTTACATTGTCTCACAACAATAATCCTCTTCTTTCTCTCTCTCTCTCTCTCTCTCTCTCTCTCTCTCCTTCTTTCCTAGGGATTGAACCCAGGGCTTTCACACTGAGCTACATCCCCAGGCCTTTTTACTTTGAGACAAGTCCTCACTAAATCACTAAGCTGCCTAGGCTGGGCTCGAACTTGTTATGTTTCCACCTTAGCCTCCCAGAATGCTGGTATTATGCCATGTACGACCACACCTGGCTACAACTTCATGTTTTAGCATACAAATCTATTGTGTTTAAGATTTTTATTGTTTCCTAATTTTCTCATTCATCCCCACAATATCCTACCCACATTTTATTTTTCTTTTAGTGAGAGACATTTGAGTCACCTCCAGCCTCCCTCTACCACAAGCAGTGTGTAGATAAACACCCAGTTTCATGACCTCTTATGGATCAGAATGAGAATTTCTTGGTGATATACACCCACAAATTTCATCATTTAGCCAAAAGATTTCCTCATGTATTTGAGGTAAATTGGTGAGATTTGTTTTTATTTTAAAAAAATTTTTGGTACCAGAAATCGAACTCAGGATCTTGTGCTTGCCCAGCAGGTACTGTGCCGCTGAGCTGTATCCCTGGCCCCGAGCTATATCCCTAGCCCGAGATTGGTTTTTAGAATGCCTATATCAGTTTGCTTTCCAACGCATGAGAGTTCCCACATCCCTACGTCCCTCTCAATCTTGGCATTTGTGACGGTTAATTTTATGTGTAACTTGACTGAGCTAAGAGATACCCAGATAGCTGGTAGAGCATTATTTCTGGGTGTGTCTATGACGATGTTTCCCGAGATTAGTATTTGAGTCAGCAGACTTAGTAAAGAAGATCTGCCCTTATCCATGTGGGCGGGCATCACTCAGTCTGGGAGCAGAATAGAACAAAAAGGTGAATTCCCTCTCTGTTCTTGAGCTGGACATTTGTCTTTTCCAGCTCAGAGACATTGGACTTCCTGGATCTTGGACCTTCAGACTCTAAGACTTACATCAGCAGCGCCTGTCCCCACCCTTTTAGGCTGGGAGTTACACCTATAGCTTCCTTGGCTCTCAGGCCTTTGTGTTCAGACTGAACTATAACTCTGGCTTTCCTGGTTCTCTAGCTTGCAGACAATGTACTGTATCTTCAGAATTCTCAGCCTGAGAATGACATGAAGCAATGGAATGAAGCAATTCTTGTATTAAATCCCTTCCCCCACATTGGTTCTGTTTCTCTGGAGAACCCTGAAAATAAATCACGGATCCTCTTTTCTGACGCTTGCAATCCAGACGGGTATTCAAGTATAATGTTTAGGGTCAGGGATGTAGTTCAATGGTAGAGTGCTTGCTTACCATGCCTGAGGCCATGGGTTCAATCCCTAGCACCACACACAC